ACACAGGGGGGGAACCGGCAGGATGGAGGAATACTTACCTCCTCCTGCTGCTTCCTCCTCTGCCTCCCCCCCCCCGCGAGTATCGCAGGTCCACCCCTTGCTATACTTATAAATTTGCCATACTAACTCAAATTGATTTATTTTTTTATCCTTTCACTGTGAACTTATGGAAGGTTTTATCCTTTCACTGTGAGCTTATGGAAAGGAAAGAACAGATTCTTTTAAAACACACAAGACACACAAAGCAAGGCCTTGTAAGGGTCCTTTCCCTTCCCCAAACCCTGCCTTCTTCAGGATTCAACACCACCACCCCCAAATCTCCAGGTATTTCCCAACTCAGAGCTGGCAACCTGGGGGGGAGGACAGGCCTCAGATTGGGTCTGTTCAGATCTGCCACTCAGCTTAGAGATCAGTCAGCAATGAAACCAGAGTTACAATATTGCCCCAGCTTGCTAGGCCAATGGAAACCCTCCTGTTCAGAAGTCAGAAATGAACTCTAAGGCTCAACGCAGTCTCACCTAAAAGGTCCATAAAAGCAGGAAGCAAACTTGGCACTGTAGCTCATGACCGAAACCTGCAGACACAACAGAGACGAGGGTGTGCCAGGGGCTCAGTTTGAGGCCTCTCACCATGCCCTCCAAGCAGGCTCTTGAAAACCACAACTGGTGTGCCTCAAGAGCCTAGTCATGCTCTGGAACCCTTACAAGTGCCCCCGCCCCCACCAACCTGCCACAAGCCTGAAGGAAGAGAAAACTGACTGGAGGTTTCAGAGCTATGGAGAATTTGGACAAGGTTAGGTCTCACTGCAGAATATGACCTGCAGACAGGAAACAGTATCTGAAGTCAAGCTGACATGAAAAGAATTATGCTCTACAGTTGTGTTCAGCCAAAAGCACTCATGTTCACAGCCGCCACCCTGTGTACATAAATTTGTTGCAGGGGCCAGGGCGTGGCACACAGATTAGGTGCGGGCTCATGTAGCTAGGGGGCACTCGCATGGCAGCCTCCAATCTCGTTCTGTGGCCTTCTTGCCCACCTTGTTGCCCATGTCATTGGAGATCAGGGCCTCCTTTATTGCACGGATACGTCCGTCCATCATATCCGAGGGGGCCACAATATGGCATCCTGGAAGAAACATGAAGGACACAAGAGGTTCCAGGTAACAATGAAGCTATGCAAGTAATACCTTGACTGGCTGGTTTATTAAACACGCAGAGGTGAAAGCCAGCTTGCATGATTCATGGTTTGTTTCCTCTTATACAATTATGTGTAATGGGGGAGAAAACTGACGGAGAGAATGTTCTTCCACTCCCCAAATACTAGCACAAAATGAAGGTGATGGGCAGTAGAGTCAGGACAGGTAACAAGAAGTATTTCTTCATGTAATGCATATTTAACTTGTGGAACTCAATACCACAGGGTGTAGGATTAGAGAAATTCAAGGCGGTCAGGTCCCATCAATGGCTATTAGCCATTATGCCTAAATGGAACCTCCATGTTCAGAAGCAGTATTACTGGATGCCAGTGGCTCAGGTGGCAAGCACAGGGCAAGGCTTTGACCTTCCAGGGCATCTGGCTGGCCATTGTTGTGCCACATGGGCTTTTGTCCTGATCCAGTGAACATCCTTATGATGTTTTATTGCTTACGACAGCATTTATATATATATATATATATATAATGGCAATGGAATGGATTCAACACTCACCTGCCTTGGCGTAAGCCAGTGCCACCTCTGCCAGTCTCTGGCAGCTGGCCTCATTCTGGAGGGTGCCATCCTCCCGAAGGATACCTGAAAGACCAAGTGAACCCATAAAAACCGCTATCTGTGTCCAGTCCCAGATGTGATGGGAAGAGGCCTCATTCTCCACCTGTTCCGACTTTCTCACTGCTTCAGGTAGGACTGTGTGAAGCAAGCTCAAGAACTAGTCAGATCTATTGCAGAAGCAGTACCCCGGCTATTACCACACCATTTCATCTTGTATTAAAAACAAAAACTCAGTTTCTAGCCCCCAAGACTGAAATGAAATGAATACAGAAAAAGAAACACAGGGGACAGGGAGGGGCAGGAAACCCTGAACAGTCTTCCCAGTGGTCAGAAAACAGCACATGGGCTCTTTTGCACAGATCTCTAGTCCCATGCAATAAGGAACATCTGCCGTGACAATCTGCTGACCCAGCAGAAAATACAAACCGGGCTGCAGAATTTTCTTGCTACAGATACGATATTGTTACTGGTTGGTGTTTTAACCTTGCCTTTCGACCAACAACAAAAACTGGTTCTCAAAGCACCAACAATGAATGCAAATGATCCATTCCAGTTTTAGCGAAATGTCATTTCCAGACACAGTGGCAGAGGAGCCCAGGCCGCTGCCTCTTCCCCCTCTGGCCTCATCTAGTCCAACGTTGAGATGTACAATCTAAACAGCATCTTGGCCCTATAAACAGAGGGCAGACAGCATCAGTGCCCCACAGGACTTACCACAATGCCCATGGGAAGTGTATGGGCACAGGCAGACATCACAGGCTATCAGCAGCTCTGGGAATTCAGACCGGATCATCTTCACAGCCTGGATCGCCGGTGTGTCCTTCGCATCGGCTGCAGAGCCTCCTTCATCCTGAGGGGAGGGGAGCAAGACATGAGTAACTGGGGATGCCATGTGGTCTAACTAGAGGAACTGGGCCACAGCCAAATGGTAGAGCACAGGCTATGCGTACGGAAGGTCCGGGATTCACACTGCAACTGCCATCACCACTGCTGCCCCTTTTCGCACCTTGGCTGCTTTCGTCGGGACACCAAAAATCAGAACGCACTTCAGCCCATCAGCCACCAGGGGGCGCAGCATCTCCTCCAACTTGTTGACTCCATACCTGAGGAGAAGGAGGGTCAGATCAGCACACAAGGCATTAGGGTTTTCTTCACACAGAGATGCCGTCATGGAGCAAAGCTGGACCTGGAGGACTCTGGCTTCTTAAGCAGTTAAACTAGGGTGTAGGGAGCAAGTTAGACATACAAGATGGAAAAGCAGTAGGTGGCATCATTTTGTGACTGTAGCAAAACCTCCCAGTCCAACCTCAACCAACTTCACAGAACTCACCTGGTCGGGTCTGCCACAAAATCAGTGACTCTTACAAACGATTCGGGGGGTGGGGGTGTTCTCAGACATGCAGTCTGTTCATGCAGGGTTCTGGTCAGATGTATTGGGTCTCAATGCCACACCACAGATTATTGAGCACGTCTTAGAATATATTTGCCACCGTCCTGTAACTGCTTGTTGCAGGGCAAAACCTGTACCACCAGCCTCAAACTTCTTAAAGAGACCCTGAGAAGCTTCTAATTTCCTGCAACAGTTTCACTACCATACCTCTCAGGACAGTCACAGGATTAAACTTTGTAAATGATATTCTGTAAAGCACCATGCATATTTGATGGTATCATATACATTAAAATAATGAGCTTTTACATGAAATTATACACTATTCTGTTAAAAGTCATCAGGGAATTGGGGGAGAAGGGACAAGTATCTCCTGTCTTCCTTTAGAGTACAAGTTCAGGCCAACCTCCTTTGTAGCTAACAGCATCATTAAAACTTCCAGGCCAACATAAACACGGATTCCGCCGCCACAGCCGAGGCTGGAGACCTTCAAGCAGCTTTGGGCTCCCCACACAGCCAGGGCAGATTAGGGATGGGTGAGTTTTATCTGACACCAAATGAGTGGACTCATTCCTTGGGATGGACCTTATCTCTCAACTTCCATTTGCAGCCAGCAACAAAAGAGCCATTATCGTGGGGAGGCAGCGCCAAACCCAGCACCCTCATGGAGAGAGGAGAGCATTGGCTCTACCCTTGAAGACTCCTTTATCTCTCAAGCCCCAGAGACCGTCTCCCCATGCAAGTCCAGGGCAAAGGCAAGCAACAACGCCTACACATTACCTTCTTCCCTCTCACCAGAAGAAACCAGCTGCACCCTAGCTTCAGAAATAAATATATTTCCAACCAGATCTTTACTTGCCCAATGAAGGACAGCTCCACTCACCAAAATCCTCTTAGGAGCCATGCCCACCCCCTCATCAAACCTTCCTCACCCCCCTAGCAGTGCTCTCCAAGCCCACCCTATCTCGATTCACATGTTACCCACAGAGCTTAGGTATTGGTTTTCCTGCAGCTGTATCTCACATTCCTTCGTCTGATGTGTGTGAAATAAGGACATCACATGGGAGGGACAAAGGAAGTTCCTGGGTCAGAGTTACTGGAACAAACTGGGCACAGGGGTGGGAATTTTCAATATGGCTCATCCTTCCCATACGTTTTCCTCCTTTTATACCGTTATGGCCATGAAGTGAAAAAATCAACTCTTAGCTAAGTGAAAGGAGGCTAGAAGGTGTTTGTTCTGAAGCGTTTTCCCATGACATCTGAAGCTGAATGGAGCTGACTTTACAATGTCTAGAACTTTATTATTATTATATGTGGTTTTAATATTGTATTTTAATATTGTATTTATATAAATTGTTGTCGTGTTTATATGTACCGTTGTATTTCATCTGCTGTAAGCCACCCTGATGGAGCTGCGGTGGCTCAAGTGGTTAAGACGCTGAACTGCAGGCTGTGGAAGGTCAGTAGTTCAGCAGTTCGAGACCCGGGTGCCGCATGATGGAGTGAGCTCCCATTTCTAGTTCCAGCTCTTGCCAACCTAGCAGTTCGAAAGCAAGAAACTGCAAGTAGATAAATAGGTACCACTTCGGTGGGAAGGTAACAGCGTTCCATGTGCCTTGGTGTTTAGTCATGCCGGCCACATGACCACGGAAACGTCTTCGGACAGCGCTGGCTCTTCAGCTTTGAAACGGAGATGAGCACCGCAACCCTAAAGTCGGATTCGACTGGCTTTCGAGCAAGGGAACCTTTACCTTTAAGCCACCCTGAGCTGGCCGTGGCCAGGAAGGCGGGATAAAAATTTAAATAAATAAATAAAATATGGCTATTGGTGGTTACTATATGCACCTACTAGCCAGAGTATGGAGACCAAAACCAGCTAATGAATTTGGAGAGTACAAGGCAAGAAGAGAAACTATTTTGAATTAGCATATAGCCAGCCAAAGAGATATATCTGTTCTTCAGCCAGCTGGGAAGAATCAGCTACAAACTGATGGTGCTTTCAGAGCTCATACCTGGGGCGGGGCCGGAACACCGTATCAGGCCCTGGGGTTCCAGGAGGACTTGGTCCTAACTTCAACCCTTATCACCAAAAAGGATATTTCAAAAACTAAATAGATCTTTCTTCCATGGTTCATGAGATTTTATTATGGGATGGGAGCAGGGCCCGTGTTTCAACCTTGTGCCAGGCCCAGAGAAATGATGCTTTGGCTGTTTTGCAGACTTAGCGCTGTATGTCTGGAGGCCTGTCAACTGCCCCTGCTCAACTTGTACATTTGTAAATGAACAGCGATGACAGACCTCTATGACCCTTTCCCAGCTTTCCCTCTCCAAAACTTCCTGCAAGCAGGGAGCCCCAGAACAACCGGAGCGGCATCGGATGCATCTACAGGGAAGCCACATGCCCATGAAAAGAGTCCTTGAATGACTTACCGGGCCTGGCCAGGGAGACTGGGAATGGGCTCCACGGCATCAGGGCTGTCTCTGAAAGGGTTAAACAGGAGAAAGAGATGAGCCATTCAGAGGTGCCTGGTACGGGCTGTGCTCTTGGCTCAGGCTGAAAGCAACTCAGGGAAGCGGAAAAGGCAGGCAGCCTGAGAAAGCACTTCTGCAGTGATCCAATACAATACAGCACGGGCCAGATCCTGCAGCTCTTGGGGAGTAGGAAGCAGCTGCACAGGCAGGATGCTGCCAACAGTCTAGTCACAGTGTTTCTGTCTCAAGGAAGCCAGAGGTTTTCTTTCCTTCGATCTGACTGATTCTTGCTGCTGGTAAACCGAAGGACTCCTGACCCCTCCAATGACAGCAGCCGGGAGACTACTGACAGTGACTTAGTGAGGTCTGACGCTTTGCTCCCCAGAAAAAGGGGATGCTGCGTACTTCAACGCTTCTCACTGCAAGGCAGCAGTAGGCAGAGAGCCCAAGATCTGAGCTCTAGTTGAACTGTTGCTGAGTGGTAGCTAACCACAGTCCCCTACTCAAATCTGCCAATGAGTTCACTTGATAGCTATAGGTGTTCTCTCTGGCCCCCTAAGCTCCCTCCTATCTGCAGTATGGGGATGATACTGGCCTACTTTAACGGGTTATTGTAAGGATCTGAGCACTAAGTTGGTTAACGATACGCATTCCCCCCCTTTCCACAAACGCACATCTGACTTACGTAACGAAGATGGGGTAGATGAGATTGGTGGCGTCAAAAGCAGTGGCTGACGTCTGCCACGAGCGCAGCACAGGGTGGAAGTAGCCACTGTGCAAAAGAGACTCTAGCTGCATCATAAGTGCTCACCAGTAGGGTTCTGGTAGAAGAGATTCTGAAATATATAAACAGCCACCAAGCAGAGTGGTTTTAATGTGGAACATGTTCCTACACACTCATATTCTACCATGTGCAGTCCTGTTGCCCTCAGAGAATTCATTACAGCTGCCCATTGTCTGGGCAGGTCAGTAGCGGCACACATTCTACGAAGCACAGCTGCCATTCATTATTTTCACATGAAGGAATCCCTGATCATCATCTATGGCAAGCAGTTTGTAAACTTCTGGCATAATACAGGACACCAGTTCACTCACAAATTGCAATCAAACTGAGATACACGCAGCCTACCTGGAAAGGGCTTAATCTGAGACAGCCTTAGAATACAAGAAAGATATCATGAACAGAAGTCCCCTTGAGCATGTGTAAGGTATTTCCCTCCTCTCTACTGTGCTTTACAGGAGGTGGTTTCTACAGCAGATCAAAGCACTTTTTGTTTGAGAAATGCATCATTATCTGTCCTCTTGCTTTCCAGCTAGAATCAGCTTTTGAAAGTAGGTCTGCATCCAGGCATGAAGGAGGGTGCCTGGCTACTTCCTGCCCACCTTCTTTAAGATTGATCCAGTTCGGGGTGGGGGGTGGGGGAGAGACACGCACCCTGCAAGATTACCCAACAATGCTGTAGGCAGACCTTTTATTTGAGGCAAGGCCTTATCCCAGAACCCAGGCTCAAGGTCACGGCTCAGATACTGGAACCACAAAGTATGAAGATGCGCAGAGTGCCTTAACTGCCTTGTCAAGTAGCCACATCTAGCCTGTGCACAGCACGGATGAGGTATGAGGACTGCCCAGCACCTCTTCTTTGGAATTTTAAACTCTGCTCCCTTGGTGACCTTGGGCCAGTCACTCTCTCGGCCTTGCCTACCCCACAGCCTTGTTTCTAAGACAATAAACAAGAGAAGTGAGAACAATGTACATAAGCCACTTTGGATCCCATTGGGAAGAGAAGCTGCATAGAAATACCTAGATAATAAAAACTTGCTGTGACATTAAAGTCCATTTATGTGTCTCAAAGTACAGTCCAAGATCTGCTACCCTGACCTGGATGGACCACGCTAGCCTTGTCTCATCAGATTTCGGAAGCTAAGCAGGGTCAGCCCTAGTTAGTACTTGGATGGGAGAGCCCCAAGGAAGTCCAGGGTTGCTATGCAGAGGCAGGCAATGGCAAAACCACCTGGGAAAATCACTTGCCTCGAAAACCCTACAGGGCTGCCTTAAGTCAGCTGTGACTTGATGGCACTTTCCTCCACCACCAATTTTAGAGACTAATATTCAGCAAAACACTCAGAACCAACCCCCTCCAGCAGGTTCCACTTATACCAAATGGATCCAACCACCTTGGCTGACTCTAATCTGGGAGAACCAGGTCTGACTCCCCACTCCTCCACATGCAGCCAGCTGGGTGACCTTGGGTCAGTCACAGTTCTCTATCAGAGCTGTTCTCTCAGAGCTCTCTCAGTCCCACCCACACAGGGTATCTGTTGTGAGGAGAGGAAGGGAAGGAGATTGTAAGCCGCTCTGAGAATCCCAAGTGAAGGGCAGAGTATCGATCCAGTCTCCTCTTCTTCTTTGCACATACAGAAAACAGCCATTACAAACAGCAGGAAAAATAAGTAAGCCACTTACAAATCCTGTCTGTAACTACTCATGAAACTACACATTTTAGAGCAACACATTACAAAAAAAAAAACAACAGCAGAGAGAAAGTCTGGGATGTGTTCTGCAGTTCACTTTTTGTCAGGGCTCAAGGCCAGGCTGAGGAGACGGTAACTGCTGCAACACAAAACATGTTGCAAAGAAGAGAGCCGCAGACTTGGCCAAAAAAAATCATATAAGCAGCTAAACCCTGCTGGCATCTTGGTGTCAACACCTCTGGCATCTTGGTATCAACAACAGCTGGCCAGATACAACTGTGAAGCCCACAGACAGGGCACAAAGGCAACACTACTGCCTGCACTCTCAGCAAATAGTATTCACTGCCTCCAAACTTGGAAGCTCCAATTAGGTGTTGCAGCCCAAAGCCTACTGAAAGATCTGTCCGCCCTTTGTCTCATCCCATCCCCTTTTAAGGCCACCTAAGAAAACTACTGCTGCAGCTGGTAGCTACAAACTCTGTAATTTAAGCACAGGGCTGATTTTGGACTGCTTCAAATCTACTGTTATTAGTTACATTGACATTACTTGGTCTACTTTCCAAGGCTGTTGTTAGGACTACAATATACATGGAACGCTAGACACTATTGCTACTATGGTTTTCAAGCATTATTACTAGGAGTACATAAAGCTTTGGATCGTTGCTTACCAGACAGATCCCTGCCCCTAAACTATTCACATGCAATCTTAAAACGATTCACATCTCGTTCCCGGGGAAAGCAAAAGGAAAGGAGAGAAGCCAGTAAAAGTCTCACACACGTAGCTAATCTATCACACATCAAACACCACTTTCGCGTCTCCACCTTCTCACCCCAGGCCACGTCATGTGCTTAATTGCAATTAGTTTGTGCAACTGGCTAAGCTTACACGTTCAACCGCAAGCCACAAAACGCTGAGTAACAAACAGTGCAATCCTACGAACGCTGTCCTGGGAATAAGCGCCACTGAATAGACCAGAGTAGGATTCCGAGTAGTAGATCTGCCCCCAAAACGCAAGGTCTCGCTTTGCTAACAGGATTTCTGCGAAGAGGTTAACCGTTAAAGGGAACTACAGTCTTCAGTAATTACCCAGAACGTAAACGCAAGCCTTAAGCCTCCAGCATGCCCATAAATCCTTTGGAATGCAGGAAGGCTTGCTTCCAAGACCCAGTTGCATGTTGCTTTGTAATAATATAGTAGTGCGGAGTTCACCGGCCGGGCTCCATTCGGTGGGTAAGCGAGCTCGAGAAGAGCCAAGCCGCCGGTCCCCAGCACCGAGTCGGTTCCCCAAGAAGCCACCACGAACGCGCCACACTCTCCTACCTCAACTTTACTCCCCATGAGCCAATCATTAACCCCTCACTACCTGGGATGAATGCAGTCCTTGCAAAGCATTTCCCACACTATAAAAATCAGTAGGAATGACTAAATACATCGAAAATAGGAGCAATTTTTTCTTGGCCCTCACCCCAGAAGTACAGACCAGAAAGCTGCAAGACAGAATGGAGGAGGAAGAAGAAAACACGTCCGGGACAAAGATCACCGTCCAAGCATAGAGCAAAACCCACGCGCTTATCCCGCAGAAGAAGCCCCGCAGATCTCCCCCTGCGTCAACTCAGCCTTGGTCCTGCGTCTTTCCGGAAGCCCGGGTTCTCATCCGACGTGATCAAGCCACCCACAACCAATGCATTCAAAGGAACCCAAAACCATCTTACCCACTACTAGGAACTCGTCCTTATGCACAGATGAAGGTCCGCGCGTGGGAAGAACCCCAGCCTTTTCCCAGCAGCCCCCACGACCCCGCCCCTTATTTGCATGGCCCCGCCCTGTTCCGAGTGCCGCTTAAAGAGTCAGGCTCGCGTCGCAGAAAACTCGACTCGCGTTAGGCGTCGTCGCTCTGCTTTCGTATTCCTGCTGAAGGGTTGCGATTCGAAGCAGGATAGTTTATTTTGTGAGGATACGGTGGGGGCTCAGCTCAGACTGGAAAAGCACCTGTTGACCTAGACCTTCTCCTTAATTCCTTGATGTGTTAGGGTTCGCTATACTAACTCAGCGATGAGAAAAACGCACTCTGCACGTTCTCAAGTGCCACTGAACACTCAGGGGTCATTTCCTGCAGGAGGGCACAGGAGTGGAGCTCCGGCAGTAAAGAGCCCAGGGGGCAGGCACATGCAACAAGCCCCACCCCCTTCTCCCAGCAGCCCTTAGAGCAAGAAGCAGCCAGGTAAGTTGCAGAGCCCCCCTCCCCTCCACACCCTGGTCCAAAACAGTCCAGTGGCACCTTTAAGACCAGGTTTTATTTAGGTACAAGCTCTCCCTCCTCTGCGAGGACAGATCTGCACTGCCCCCAATAGCTAGGAATCCAAAACAGTCCAGTGGAGCCTGAGTGGTGGGTGTTGCCTTCTGACACACTTCCGGTGATGTCAGGGGGTGTCATATGTAAATAAGTTATGCTAATGAGCTCCTGCCCCTCTTTTTCTACGAAATGACCCCTGTGAACACTGATGCTGGAGTTGAGTCTAGACAGAAATGAGAAAGCATTACAGAACAGGTTAAGCCTGCCTATTGGAATTTATTAGTGGTGCTACCTAAATGGAACTTCCATGATATATAGAAGTAATCTATCCCTAAATCCCAGATGGTGGGATTATACAATAGCAGAGGCCACCCACCACTATCAGGCTCCACTCAGCAGTTTCCAAAGGTGTATGGCTTGCTGTTGTCAGAAACACTCTGTTGGACTAGATCAGTCTTTGCTCTGATCGAGTAGGGCTTTTCTTGTGTTCAAGTATTTTATTTAGTGAATCATTTATTTGTCATTTTTCTACCCAGTGAGAACCCAATACAAATAGGTTAAAGTCAATCAATCAATCAGAACCTTTATTGGCATATTGACAGAACATACAATAGGTTCAAGTCAAATGTCTCGTTTGAAACCATAAAGCACCATAATATTTCTTATGTTCACACTACACCCAGTGTGGTACAGTTCTTAAGTGTCTCACAGTGCAATTCTATGCAGTTACTCCAGTCTAAACCCATTGATGTGAATGTCCTTGGAATGGAGTAGGTCCTGGAGGAGAAATTTAGGCTGCTGGGCAGGAAACCTAGGTCCAGGACCTCCAAGGTAGCTTTCTCAGAAGTGCTACCTGTTCCACGTGCAGGGCTGGAGAGACAGGCACAGATCAGGAGTCTCAATGTGTGGATGAGACAATGGTGTAGGGGGGAAGGGTTCAAGTTTGTTAGGCACTGGGATGCTTTTTGGAACAAGAGGGAGCTGTACAGGCGAGACGGTCTCCACTTGTCCCGAGAAGGAACCAGGCTGCTGGTGCTTAAAATCAAAAAGGTGGCAGAGCAGTTTTTAAACTGAATATTGGGAGAAAGCCGACAGGAGATGAAAAGTCTCTGGTTTGGGTTGGCTCATCTCGGAGAGATGAGGGGGTACCTGTTGCTTTTCTACAGGGAGGTGGATAGAAAATGTCTACTGAGACCATGGCTAGTGACATGGACTGCCTGACAAAAACTTGGTGCGATGAGGAAAATCAGTGGGGTACGGTGATTCCCAGTTATATATTATATCGGAAGGATGGGGGGGGGGGAAGGGTTGGAGGGGGGGTGGCTCTTTATGTCAGAGAGGGTATAAAGTCCAGAAAGACTGAGAGGCTAAGAGGAGTACCTCTGCACAGGATTGCACCATCAGACTACTATCTAAAAGACCCAGGTTCAAATCCCTACTGTGTCATGGAAGCTTGCTGGGTAACCTTGGGCCAGTCACATTCTCTCAGCCTAACCTACATTGCAGGGTTGTTGTGAGGATAAAATGGAGATGAGAATGATATAAGGTGCTTTGAGTCCCCATTGGGGGGGAAAGATGCAGTATAAATGAGTTAAACAACTAAATACATTCAGGAGTCATTTCGTAGAAAAAGAGCTGCAGGAGCTCATTAGCATAACTTATTAGCATATGCCACACACCCTGACATCACCAGAAGTGTGCACCAGCCCCTCTGACAGGCAGAAGCACCTGGGATCCATTCTTTCCCCCCTCTCCCTTCCCTTCACCTCCAAGTCGGGTGAAGGAAAAGGGGAGGGGGAGGATCTCAGGCGCTTCTGCCTGACAGAGGTGTTGGCGTGCCCACAGCTAGCCTGGGTGAATTATAGAATCGTAGACATAGAGTGGGAAGGGACCTCCAGGGTCATCTAGTCCAACCCCCTGCACAATGCAGGAAATTCACCAATATCCCAAACACACCCCAGTGACCCCTGTTCCACGCCCAGAATATGATTATAAAAACCCCCAGGATCACTGGGGGGCCAAACTGGCCCGGAGAAAAATTGCTTCCTGGCCCCAAAGTGGCGATCAGCATTTCCCTGGGCGTGTAAGAAAGGGCCATAAGCACTGATGCAACCCTTCCTGCTCTACCTCTCGTGATTTGCCTAAGTTCACACAATCAGCATTATGATCCTTTTAAAGTTGAAAGCATGATATAAATGCAAAGGACTATTTGTAAGATTATCTGTAAGACACAAGACCAGGACGCATCTCACTTCTAGGAATCACTTGGAGAGACCCTATCTGTTAGATCACGCTAACAAAGGATCGGAGAATGATTTCAGCTCAGTGATTTAGCTTTATTGAAGTAGCGAACAAACACTCAAACGCATTCAAAACCAGAACGGTTAACATTGGGAGCAAGGCTCCTTTTAAACATTACGGGGCTAATATAGCCACGCCTATTTACAGATAACAACCAATGAGATTGAGTAGTTAAAGACCAATAAGAGTCTTTCCCTCGCTGGAGCTTGTGCAGTTCCTAATTGGTCGCTGCTAGAGGGCGACCAATGAGAGAGCGGTTTGGAGGAGCCTTCGTCTGGCTCAAGCTTTGCATGGGGAGTGAATGAGGCGATTCATACAAGCGATTTCAATACATTACACTATCACTCAGCTTCCATTGCCCCACACACACCCCACACTGGAATAAGAACATAATATCAGGCCATACCGCATTGCAATAAAGCCCCTACAACTGTATACAGAAATACTGAGCTTCCCTACCATTTGCCACAACTAGCCCACCACACAACCAGGATCAAGACTCCTAAGTGGACCAACAGACAGGCATACACTCGTTTGAGAAACTGAGTATTACATTACAACACCTCTGGAACATTACAGATCAGTAGAGGCAGCACTGCACAGTGGTCAGAGTTGCAGATTGATGTGAGGAGACCCAGGTTTGTATTCTCACTCTGCTGGCTGAGTTACCCAGGCCAAATCTCCCCTTCTCTACCTAACCTACCCCATAGGGTTGTTGTGAGGATGAAATGGAGACTCATGGGCAGGGTCCCCAGCTTCCCTGGCAGGAACACTGTGTTAAGAAATCTCTCACAATTATGCAGCCATAGCAGGCAGGAGGGAAGGAGGTGAATACCTCCAGCGCCAGAGACATCACACGCGAGAGGTGGAATTTGCCCTACGAGTCCAAGGCCACCACCCCGAGGCTCAGGGAGGCAAGGGAACGTTTCGCCTCCCCCCTCCCCCCGCGCGGGCATTGCAGCTGCCGCCGAAAACAGTGGCGGCGGCCATAACTTTTTAAAGAGCCCCTCCCGAGAGCTGGGGGAGCCAGAATGACCTCTTGCGTGTGATGTTCAAGTGGCATCACACGCGAGAGGTGGAATTTGCCCCTATGAGTCCAAGGCCACCACCCCGGGGCTCAGGGAGGCAGGGTAACGTTCCCCCCCTCCACCGTGTCCCAACTGATGGCTGGTGGGAGCAGGGGGCGGGGCTTATGTGCCCGCCCTCTGGGCTCCTGACTGGTGGAGTGGTGCCCAGTGCACTCTGGCAGGAACCGAGGCCTGATATACATTTTTGATTTATACCCTGAACCCCCAAAGGCAAACTGGAGCCCATTTTATAATCTTCTTATATTGTGGTTTGCCAGGACAATACTTCTTTCTTATGGCTCCACCATTACATTGACAACATGTAAAATCATTGATTGGATATCTTTATTATGTATTTAGTGCTGCATTTATTTTACAGCTTTCTTCTATCGTGGTGTACACAGGAGGTTGCTGTGTCAAGTGTCTTTTGACCACACCTGCCTGGAGCATGTGACTATTTTTCACACCAGCTTGACATGTCCAAGTGGAGTCACTGGAACCGAAAGTAACAAGGTGATTGGTGTCTGCCCCCCCCCCTCCCCGTGAGAGCTGCCCAACAGGGAATCGACAGAGCTCTAGTATGGGAAATATGCATGGACTTAGGCCAGTTATCTAACCTACATTCAAGAAATCACTCTGTCCACAACTTGATGGTCCTGGAGGACGAAGGATGAATGCAGACCTGGAATTATTTTTTCTTTATTATTTAAATTCCTGTGTCCCATATGGGTTCACTGAGATTCCTCCCCTGCTTCACCTGCAGTCTCTGAGGCCATAAAGAGCAACTTTTCCATTATCATGGAATAGCAGGTAGTCTTAATAACCACTGGATTAGGGGAAGCCCAGTGTCCAAGTATGACAGCATAGCAGCTTTGTAAATCTGAGCCCCAGTTTCTCTCACATGGCAACACACCCTTTTGAGACTGGGATTAACATCTGGCGAACAAAATGGCTGGCTCCATATCTCTGCTCAACAGGGCTGTGCTACAGCCAGCCTAATGTGGTGGTCTGAATGTCTGAGTAATGTCTGGGAGACCCCATGATGCTGCCGAACCTTGCTAGGTGACTGTGGCCCACTCTCTCTTTTTCTCTCACCTTGACCTGCCTCACAGGATCATTGTTGTGTGAATA